ATTTTGCTAAGCATTTCCTCACCTCTATAAGTAATGCCTTATTAGCTGCAGCCAGTGGCATGGAATGGGGCTGAAGTGGCACACAGTGGAAAGTAAAGTAGGTGTGGACATGTTTAAGGAATTTTTTTAAGTATAATGTGTCCTATGTGATCTCAGAAATCATACCATAGAAGAATGTATGCTGAAATGGCCCATGTTAAAACGGTGAACTAATGGCTCTGTTCTAGAAGGATATATGGTCAGAATACTATTAGTCTTGCCAGCATTAAGTCCATTGGCAAAAATCTCAGTAGTCACTAGGTAAGATCAATGTAAGCATTTGATGTCATAGACCAATAGTGTGACTAAGCACGTGGCAACAAATGCTTATGCCAGCTCCTCAACCAACAACTCACTATTGAAATACTGTATGCATTGATGTACTTCACCAGGTCTAATTCTTCAGCTAACTGGCTGGATCCTCTATGAGTTAAGTATCTGGCTGTGGAGTCAGAGGTTGGGAGTTCAGTTCTTCACTGTGTGTTCCAGAGGAGCCAGCGTGTGTGGGCTTGGGCAAACTGAACAGTCCTGGGGTTTCGCCAGTAGAAGGGAATGTTAAACTACTTCTGAGTATTCTCTACCTAGAAAACTCAGGAAAGGGTCACCGGACATCAGCATTAACTTGAAGGCACTCACTTATTAATTCTTCAACTGAATTTTGTCGTATAACTATTACATGTAAAGTTACACAGTACCATATTTTCCATGTATGACACTATTTTTCCCTAAAACTGTTAAACTAAAAATGGAGGGTTGCCTTATACACATAAGTAAGCTGAGGAGAGAACTGCATGATTGTAAAACAGCCCATACCTTGTGGTTGTTGTGGGTTTTTCGGGCTCTTTGGCTGTGTTCTGAAGGTTGTTCTTCCTAACGTTTCGCCAGTCTCTGTGGCCGGCATCTTCAGAGGACAGCACTCTGTGCTCTGGTCTTCAGCTAACTGGCTGGATCCTCTATGACAACCAGAGCACAGAGTGCTGTCTTCTGAAGATGCTGGCCACAGAGACTGGCGAAACGTTAGGAAGAACAACCTCCAGAACATGGCCAAAGAGCCCGAAAAACCCACAACAACCATTAGATCCCGGCTGTGAAAGCCTTCGCGAATATATAGCCCATACCTTGCATCTGAAAACAAGCTTCCTTCAGTCATGAGGCTTAGCTTCCTACAGTCAGGAGACTTAGCTTTCTCCAATCATTAGCCTTATGTAACTGACATCAGCTGGTGCTGAACAAACCAACTGGAACACACCTTATTGGAGGTGGAGCATGTAGGCAATGCTCAGAAGCGTTCTGAGCCCAGAGGCTGAATAAAGTGTGATGCATAATATGACAGTACTGTTATGTTACCTAGTTACTAAATAAAAATGTGTTCTGTTTTATGTTTAAAATATTGATTTCTTAATTTTAGGTTAGAAAAGGGGGCACCTTATACATGGAGGCATCTTTTACACAGAAAAATACAGTATTTACCCATCCTTTTTTTAAAAAGTAATCACATCTGGGTAGAATCTAATCCTGCCTTTCACTGAAAAAAAAATAAAGCATGAAGTAGCAGTGGCTTTTCTAGCTTGGGAAATCTACAAATCTCAGCAGTGGGCATTCATATGTCACAGAGCTGCAGAGATCAGATTGAACTGGATGAAATGCATTTCATCATTGTAAATAGAAAGTACTGTATTTGTTGAGAAGGACAGGAGTTCCTGCTGTTTATAGTTGAAACACAGCTCAGCAAATTAATCTGGATTTTGGCAGTGTAGGAGAGATAAGATTGAGGATGATCTGTGTTGATTTTGACATGAAAAGAGTAAGCAATATCTTATCTATAGAAGTTTAGATTTTACCAACTCATCTCTGACAGTTTAAGAACTATTGACTTTGTTTTCTTTTCCCCTCCAGACTTTGCTCAGGTTAAATTTTAGTCCCTGATTTCTCTTTTAAAAACATCTTTGGGAAACCATTTTTTGTTTGTTTGTTTGTTTTTTGGGTTCTGGGCAAAAGTCTAGTACATTGCTTGCCCTGATAGCAAATTAATATTTTATTGTTATTTTGTGAAAGCATTTTCTTTTGGAAGGTGTCTATCTTGACTGAGCTGCTGACTTAGCCTTTTTAAATTATGTTCTTAGGTGAAGAGCAAAGCTTACGAATTGTTCTAAAGGGGGGGGAAGCCACAAGAATCTGAAATAAACCTTACAATCTTAAACTTTACCAGGGGAGCACTATGGCATTACACCAACTAAGGTTAGAGAAAGAAGACAAATCTTTGAAGCAAAAAATCTGAAAGAAAGACAATGAAAAAAATCAATGCCTCAACGTTTATCCCTTTCCTGGAAGCTGAAAAAGTCATGAAATCTTTACTATCGATTTAGTTAGGGCCAGAAAAGATAATAATTGCCTTTCAATGCTCTACCTACATTTACAGTGCACAGTGTGTGTGTGTGTGTGTGTGTGTGTGTATGTATGTATGTATGTATGTATGTATGTATGTATGTATGTATGTATGTTTGTGCACGTCAAACTTTTCTTTTAAAAATCAGTTTAGCTAGTGGAAAATGACATATATAAATGAACATATGACAAACAAGTTGATCAAGAGTAGTCATGATGCAGCAACAGATATCATGCCACATTTTTCTCTCTCAAAAAGACAAACAGAAGCTTTAAGATGATGGCTTGGTTGATTGAACACTGTAGGGAGAAGCTCCTCATTAACATCATCCATCTGCTCAATCCTATGCATCTATAAAATAAACTCATATGCACTTTGCCTCTAGGTATTGGGGAAGGGACTTAATGTTGAAATTGCTCTGGTTACTGCAACATGGACCCAGCTTTTAGTGTGTCATGTATTCAATATTTTGCCAGCAGGGGATTCCAGACTGGGAGAAAAGCAGGATAGAAATTAGGTAAATGAATATCAGTAAAACAAATGAATTTAGTGGTTTATATTCACTGATAAAAGGAGAAGCATAAGTGGACTGAAGAAAAGATAATTTAGCCTGGATAATTACGGAGCACGGGCTCTTTAGATAAATAGAGAACCTTCTATAGTAGGTGACATGGAGAGTTGGGAGAGTGCAAAGAAGAGGAAATCCTCCTAAGACCATGCAGGTGACCACCACCTTCTCCACTATATAGTGGCAGATCTGTAACCGTTGTGTTACCAGGTATGCTCTTCAGAGTATGTGTGCCCACTCACATTCTCAGAGACACACACATACGGGATCTTTGAACAGCGCAGTGGTTAAAACGCTGTACTGCAGCTAAATCCCAGGTAGCCGGCTCAAGGTTGACTCAGCCTTCCATCCTTCCGAGGTCGGTAAAATGAGTACCCAGCTTGCTGGGGGGGCAATGTGTAGCCTGTATAATGAAATTGTAAACCGCCCGGAGAGTGCTTGTAGCACTATGGGGCGGTATATAAGTCCAATAAATAAATAAATAAATAAATAAATTGACATAGATTAGGCTGAATACATCACAAACAAAACTATTCAGAAGGGGAATTAATAGAAGAATTAGCATGCAGTGGTACCTTGACTTACGAACATCCCTAGTTGCGAATGATTTGTTATGAATGGCTCCGTTCGCAAAAAGTTGCTTCAACCTGCAAACGGAGCCTTGACTTACGAACCACAAAAAAGAAAAAGAAAAAAACCTTTCCTGCTCTTTTTTTTTACCTAAGTTCACCTTAGGTCAAAAGAAGAAGAAGAAGCAAATTAACCCCCTAGTGATAAAGTACAGATTAACTGGCTTTTCATTAGTTCCTATGGGAACTAATGCCTCTATCTACAGACAGCACTTCGCCATACGAACAAAAACATCAGATATGGATTAAATGGTTTTCAATGCATTCCTAAGGAAATGTTTGCCTCAACTTATGAACTTTTCAATGTACGAACACCATTCCAACACGGATCAAGTTCGTAAGTCAAGGTACCACTCTATATCATAGATTCACAATGAATTATAACTAATATGGGGAAATACAGGCTCCAAAGAAGCAAACTCACGTGGTTGAGAGGGTACAAAGGAAAGACTTTTCCCTAAAGAAAGAAAGAAAGAAAACAGAAAAGTGACAATAGATTGGGGAGCCACCAAAGCAAGAAAGAAAGAAAGAAAGAAAACAGAAAGGTGACAATAGATTGGGGAGCCACCAAAGGGGGGGGGGGAAATACTCCCAGAAGATAGAGAGAGGGTGACATATCACCTCACCTTAGTCTCATTAGACTTCCTCGGAGCTATGAATTCCAGCTGGCAGGAGAAGCTGGAGGTTTCAGACAGAGATACATACAGAAAGAAGAACCTGTTTGTCCTGAACTGAACTGGACCTCAACCTGAACCACCTGAACTGAACCCTGAACCTTAATGACTAACATGGCTGCTGTATGTATTTTTATAGAGTTCCTTCAGCAGGCTAACTAGTGATCTGGCCCTTTGTAGTTATGTGTTCTACTTTGCCTTGTTTTCCAACCTGGTCTATCCAGAAACAAAGGCCATAATGGGCCATTTGCTAAACAGGAGGAAGAAGACAGGCAGACCATTCTAAGATATTTGCTTTCTCAGACTTCCAGACAATCCTTTTTGCATAGAAACAAAAGCAGATAATTAATTTATCTGGCCTTCCAGAAAGACTATCCTGTGAAATGCCTCTTTGGCTCAGAGCATTCAGGTCTTAGGTACTTTTGATGTGGATAGTTCTGAACTATATAGCCACAATTTCCTCTTGGAGGCTTCTGAGATCTTTCAGATGTTTTTCCCCCTCTGGCACTGTTTAACCTATACATCTATGACATGTTTTCCAGTTAAAACAGTCTGTGACATGCACATTGCAGGGCTGGTTTTCAAATCTGGCCAGTTTGATAAAAGTTGGGTCCTTGCCACCATTAAGAAGTTATAGTTAAAGGTAATCACCCCACATTCCACTGACTTACTATCCTTGCTTCATCCTTTAATGTCTGTTGCAGGTAAGGTAAGGAAGATGGAGTTGGTGAGGTGAAAGAAGCACAGGAAGTTAAATGTTCAGTGGAACCTTGAAGGAAATTGTCAACTGCTCTGATCTGGCAATTGATTTGGTCCTCAGCCCAAAGGACTACTACAGGTAGAGGACATGGAACATTTCTCAGAAATGTTCTTCTAAGAAAATGTCTGATATTATTTTCCTTTCCCTCACATTCCCTAAAAATATATCTGTTTAAGAAATGTTCTTTGGATACCGTATTTTTCCGTGTACAACACAACCTAATGTATAAGACAGCCCCCACTTTTCCAACCCCAAGATTAGATTGCTGCTTTCCCCATCCACTTCCTAAGCCCCATGAAAGGGCTGCGGAAGTGCAGGGGGAAAGCAGCGATGAAAGGGTTGCAAGATCACAGCCCTTTGATCCTGCAGCCCTTTTATAAGCCTGTGAGGCTTATGAAGTGACAGAGAAAGCAGCGATCAAAGGGCTGTGATCCTGCAGCACTTTGACCCCTCCCCCTTACTTCTGTGTATAAGATGACCCTCAATTTTTAGTCTAAAGATTTTATTTTTAAAAAACATTTTATTATTTTTTATTGTTTATCTTTGCTTTCAATCTTTTCATGAAGAGCGGAAAAAGTCATCCTCAAGTCTGTTCTAATCTGCTCCAGTTGCGCCTTAAAATGATTGATTATGTAAGATTGACATTCTTGAAGAAGTCCCTTGATATACAGTGGTGCCTTGCTTAACAGGCGCTCCATTTAGCGATGAAACCACATAGCGATTAAGTCTTTGTGATTGCAAAAGCGATCGCATTCTGATGTTCCCTATGGGGAAAAATCGCTTTGCGATGATCGGTTCGCTGTTTCGCTTACCGATTATTGCATAGCGATGATTTTCCAACAGCTTATCGGCGGTTCCAAAATGGCCAGCGGGTAAAAAAATGGACGCCTGCTGTGTTTAGGGACGGATTCCTCGCTTACTGGGCAGCAAAAATGGCTGCCGTATGGATGATCTTCGCTTAAAGGTGAGTTTTTAGCCCATAGGAATGCATTAAACAGGTTTTAATGCATTTCTATGGGCTTTTTAAAATCACATAGTGATGAAATCACTTTGCAGCAATTTTTGCTGCACAGATTAACATCGCTATGCGAGGCACCACTGTAATCCATTGTAGGTTGTGATGATGGGTCTCCCCCTCCTTCCATGGCCATAGCAAACAGCAGGTTAATTACTCAGATTACCCACATGATTTATTAGTTAGTCTGCACTTAAAGTCTTACGAGGGGGGACCCCATGATTTACAATTCACCTTGTAGCCAGATACAGAGTCACATAGGTTAGATATGAAGAGTTATTTAGAATTCTTAAGTCCTGACTTATAGATTTATGGAAAGTATCAGTTTCCCTGGGGGGAGAGGGTTAAGAGAGTCAAAGAGCAGAATTGGTTTCATTTCTGAGCTGTGACGCAGTAAGAAAACTCTGATGTTACAGTTTCTCAGGTATTAACAAAGTTATGCTGCTTGAGATCATTCCTTTTCGTCAGCTTTCACAGAGCAAATTTGATCTTTTACTTGCTGTGGCTTGGCAGCAGATCGTTAATCTCTGTTCTGCAGTCAGATAATAAATCTCAATACCTCCCCTCTCCGAGCAGCTAACTCACCATCATGGCGACTTCACGAGACAGATCACATGTAGGAAGGGAACTCTTCCAAAAAACAGACTGCCATCTGAGATTTGGCGGTTCCAAAGCCCCCACTTGCTAACAAGTCCCATTCTCCTGTAGAAACTTGCCCCCCTTCTCCGGGGGGGTCCTCTGACTCAGAGAAAACCCAGGGGAATCCAGAGCCCTGGAATTTCCCCTGTTCTCACTGCTCATTGCTCTGCCTCCTCCCTATTTTTTTAGTCTAAAGATTTTAGATAAATGTATCATACACAGAAAAATACGGTATTGTTAGCCATTTTTGTGTGGCTGTTTCCCTCCCATATTTCTCTGGGGCAATACTAGGTCTTCAGAATTTTGAGTGGTGCAAAATGATTCCATTGTTGTTGCTGCTGCTGTCACTTCCAGTAACTGAGGGGAAAGAAACAAGACAAAAAAAGAAAGAAGTCATGCCACAACCACTGTTAATGTTAATTTGAAAGAATGACAGAGCGAGGGAGGGAGAGAGAATCCTAACCCTGCTCATTGACTGTCACTATCTCTATGCAAACAAAGGAAGCCTAAAGAAGAAACAGTCTGCCAAACATGGAGCTTCTCTGTGCTATTGCGAACTCTGATTTTTCAGGATCCCAAATCATGTAGAGACTCCACATGTAGCATACATTTTCCTCTTCAGATAGTCCTTCTTCCCATGGAGACAGATAGGAAGGGAGGTGTCTGGAACTCTCCTTACTCATGCTTTCCAAATAACCATTCCAAATGCTTAAATAGGACTAGAATATCCTTTACATACACTTCTCAATTGCTTGTTCTTGTGTGTACAATAGCCTTGAGTGCTGATCTCAAGGAACATCTTCACATACTTTTGGAAAACTGATCTGTCCTTTCCAAACTGTCTGGATATTGGATAATCAGATCAATCTCTAAGTAATTAAAACTGTGGTTCCTTCTCCAGTCTCTTACCTCTTTTAAGAATTAATTGGTCAGTCCATCTCTCACTGTGCTGTACAGTATTCTTTATTCCTTAAATCAACTGACCATCATCTTCATTCTATTAACCTCTCCCAAATCTTTCCTCAACTATGTCAAGACAGCTCTCTCTGTGTTATCTCTTGAAACTCCCATTTCCCATTAATAGGAACATATTTCTCTTCCCAGGCCTCTAATATATTCTTGTTGCTTGAAAAATAAGGCATTGGCTTTTACCATGACCTTTATGGGACACTTCATTCAGGACAGAATTAATTTGGAATGCAAGTGCTCTGTTTTTAACTCTTCTTTCCCCCATCTGTCTTGGATTACTAGGTAGGGCATCCATGAAAGTGACTTAAACTGAGTTGGCGCACTGGTCAGTGCATCTTACTGCTGGTCACTCCGATGAGCAGCCACTCATCAGGGTCTGAGGCAGATACATTTTTCATATGTTTCTGCTATGAGAGTTCCTTTTCACATAGAGATGACATAGAATGTGTGCTATGTCCTTTGTGTGCGTTGTAGAAGGATCACAAAGAATCATTACTGCACCAGGAACTGTTTTTTATGGATTTGCATTGTACTTACTCACAAATATTTGCCTCCCTTTCATGATTCTAGAGTAGGCAAACAGAAACATAACATATGTTCAGTAACCTTCAATATGGGATCCCCAAATCTAGATCCTGAAAGGTATATTTGGCTTACAGCAAAGCTCAAGACAAGTCACTTTTAGGACTGCAGGTCACAGGTTGGCTTTTCTTTTCTTTTTCATTTTCAAGGTGTCACAAGACTCTGGCATGTTTGCTGTTATTGTGTGATACAGCTCCCATTCTGGAACTGTTTTATTGTTTGTTTGCTTGCTTGCTTTTGTTCTTTGTTTTTGTTTTTTGTTTTGTGCCACACATTTAAGATGACACCTAAACATGTAAAGAGGAATGGAACAGGCAGTAAGTGAATGTCAAAAAAAAAAGTCATCAAAGTAAGCTACATGAACAGATTTAGGAAAGAGGATCAACAAATAAAATATTTGAGAGTGGCATATCAGTAAACATTTCATTACAGTCTGAGCTTATCATCTGGTTCATAAAGACATAGATTCAATTCTTCAAAAAACAAACAAACAAATAAAAAACTCCAGTTTATGAATGGATGATATTGTGCCTCTGTACCCATGATTCAAAAAGCCAGGAAATGGCCCAATATTGCTGCACAATATTGTGCCTGCATTGCCAGCAGGTAAAAGGATACTAAGATTTACCTAGCAAAGTTGCCTGAAATGTTGACAATGGGAAAAGTCAGGATGGTCTACAGGACACTCTCTTCTGCTCAGTACCATTCATACATCTTGAAAATCAGCCATAAGAATTGCTTTGTATTTGGGAGAGAAATGGTGAACAGATGAAAAAAGGAGTCAGCTTCTGGGATTTTCCCTTGTGTATTGTCGTAGAATAAATTATCCTGGTGATGGGCTACAATAAATGCATAAGAGTGGCCATATGTAGGCATATAAATCTTTGATTGCATATTTAGTTTGCAAGGTGAAAGAAAAAATATATTTTTTCTCTCTCTCCTTTGGCCAAGTTTGTGAAAGTTTTACATTTCAGTACTTTTGGTTTTTGAAAAAAAAAAACCCCACAAAAGATAAAAGTGGGTTTTGTGCCCCACCTTGTAGTTTGCATTAAAATTTGTATTTGCAAAAAAAGTCTTTACGCAAAAATAAACAAAATTAAAAATAGCCCTTTTCCGCAACTGCAGCTTGTGTGACAATGGAAACTATTGCAGCAGTTGTCTATTTCTTTGAAAAACACTCTTTTTCATTGAGGATGAACATTTTGTGAATATTCATTTCTTCTCCAACCACATAGTAAATATTCCCATACTAAGAGAAGGGATGATTTGCCCTTGTGGCAGGGGTGTCATCTTTTTTATTCTGAATTGCTTTAAAGCAATTAGCAATCATGTTTTTGTCACATAAATGCCAAAATTTGGGAAATCTGAGCAGTGAGTTATGAAGTTGAGAGAAAAAGTATAACTTTTTCCCAGCTACCCGGTTTCCCTGAAAATAAGACTTAATCTGAAAATAAGCCCTAGTATGATTTTTCAGGATGCTTGTAATATAAGCCCTACCCAAAAATAAGCCCCCGTTAAGTGAAACCCCGACCTCCACCATTGTGCAGCAATCAGAAGATGACATGACTGTATTTGAATAAATATGCATTGTTGTACATGAAAAATTTAAAACATCTCCTGAAAATAAGCCCTGTAGCGGTCCCCAAAAGATGACGTCATTCCTGCATGTCAATCAAGGGATAGAGCAGGAGGGCGGAGTCAGGGTGGCAGTTAAGACAGCTGGAAGAGTCAGTTAGAAGAGAGTTGGAATGAGATAGGGCTAGAGAGAAGTAGGGACAAGAAGATGTGGAGAGAGTGCTAAGGTTCAAGAGTAGATAAAAAGGGGTTAAGAAAGGAAATTGAAAGAGTAAAATATATTGAACAAGCAGGAATG